ATTTGGTCATTTTTAACCCATGACCTCCTTTCTCCTCCATCCCAGTCTTGCTCAGTCCTCCTACCCAAGAAGTCCACATGGACGACTTTCAACTCTCCTGCTTTTAGAAAACATGTTAATTAGGATCAGCAGAATGACACATGCCTTTAATCCCAGCCCTCCAGAGGCAGGAGGATCTCTGTGAGGTCAAGGCGGCCAGCCTGGTCTGCATAGAGAGCTTCTGGAAAGCCGGGATTACATAGGGAGACCCTGTTTCACAGAAGGAACAAACACTATTTTAATTAAGTCACTTATGATGTGTGTGGCCGTGGAGATCAGAGGACAGCCCACAGTCAGCTCTCTTCTTTCAAGCATATGGGGTCTAAGGATGGAACTCGGGTCCTCAGCCCTCAGGGACAAGTGTCCGAACCACGTTATCATCCCAGTCCAGGTCTGATACTCTCCATAAGCGTGACGCTGGTGCTGTGGTTAAGCTATTTTTTTCTCTCAGTGTTGGCTGTTAGAGACATGAAACAAAATGTTGACAAAGAAATTACTTCATTTCTCATGTTTGCTTCTACAGAGTAAGTAAAGATAGGCCTTACTTAGCACGAGCTGGTGAGAAAAGGCTGAGCCATACAGGAAGTTGCACCCTCAGGAGATCTCACCACAGGACTCTTTACAGTTATGAATCAGGAAATAGCAGCTCCCAAGCGGAGAAGACAGACAGACAGACAGACAGACATCGACTCAGCTGAGTGATCAGAAGAAATTGGTTTTGGTTTTGGGTTTTCCAGACAGGTTTTCTCTGTGTAGCCTTGACTGTCCTGGACTTGCTTTGTAGACCAGGCTGGCCTCGAACTCACAGCAGTGCATCTGCCTCTCCCTCCCCGAGTGCTAGGATTACAGGCGTGCACCACTGTGCCCAGCAAAACTGATTTTTGTGGTGCTGGGGATTGCAAAGGATAGCATTACATATGGCCAGTGACGGGGGTTCCAGCATCGTGGGAAACATGACTGACTAAATGCAGTCCAAACTGAGCAGTGCTGAATCATCACGGAGTCCTAGGGCAAATGCCATGCTGCAGGCAACAGACCTTTGTTTTCTACTGTATTGAGGTCATGGAAGACAAGAGGACAGTGACACTTCTAACTGAGAGGGACACTGGACACAAGGGTGACCCGATCAGTAAAGAGGTCATTGGTGAAATCTGATGTAGTCTGCAGATTGCTGCTTTTTAGAGTTATCAGGCTCTTGTAGATCTTAGGGAACTCACCGAAGTATTTAGGTTGAATACATAGATGGGTGGATGAATGGCTGGCTAGACACATGGGTAAAAGGGTGGGTAGATGGAGGGATGGAGGAATGGATACTTAAGTGGGTAGGTAGATGGGTAGACAGATGCATGGATAGATCAATGAACAGAAGGATGAATGAATAGATGGATGGGTAGGTAGATGGATAAATATACAGGTGGAGGACAGATGGATGATAGATGAATGGATAAAGATTGCAGATGTGTGGATGGGTGGATGGATGGATGGATGGATGGATGACTAGATAGAGGATAAAATTGTTAGTCCTTTGACTCTCTTTAAAATATGAGAAAACTCACTTTTCCTGTCATTGAAATCAGTGGATTTGTAAAAAAAAAAAAAAACTATCAATTACAGCTGTGTCTAATTTAGATTGTTCTGAGAAAAGAACTAACCTCTGAATTGTGAAGCAAAATGTAGAAGTTAGTCACCATGTCATCATAATCACCGGTAGGCATGGTAGATGTTTGCCGCTATGGTAATACAATGCCAAAATAGCATTTGATCCAAGGCAGCCCACAGCAGCTCATGTGGTCCAACACATGAGCAAGTGTTGCAGGCTAAAGGCCCCGATTTCCATCCTGGAAACCTGATGCTGCTCCAGTCAGACGGCTCAGTGGGTAAACTTCCTTGCTGCTAACTCCATCAACTGGATTCTTCTCCCTGGACCACTTAGTGGAAGGGGAGAATTGAATACTTCGAGCTACCCATGTCACTGTGGTATGAATGTGCGCGCACAGTAAATAAATAAATGAAATTTGTTTTCTCCCTTTCTTTCTTTCTTTCTTTCTTTCTTTCTTTCTTTCTTTCTTTCTTTCTTTCTTTCTTTCTTATAGGCTGTCTCTGTGTAGTCGTGGCTGTCTTGGACTTGCTTTGTAGACCATGCTGGTCTGGAACTCACAGAGATCCACCTGCCTCTGCCTCCCAAAGTGCTAGGATTACAGGCATATGCCACTGTTCCTGGCTCAATTTTTAAATTTTTTTTTTAAATTATTACAGACACGCATGCGCGACTGCACCTGGCTCTGTAGCCCAGGATGGCCTAAAACTTGTTAGCTAGCTTAGGACTGGCCTCAAACTACCAGAAATCCTCCTGCATCAGCCTCCCAAGTCCTGGGATTACAGGTGAGATATCAGACCAGTGTGTGTGTGTGTATCTGTAGCTGACAATAGCATTTAGGAGCTCATACTTGCTAGGCAAGTGCTCTGCTGAGCTATTCTCCCAGCCTTTTGCTAATTTTTAACTAATTGAAATTAGCATGTGTGCCCATTTGCTACAGTATCAGGTTTTTTTTTTTTTTTAAGATTTCTTTATTTATTACTTACGCAATGCGTGTTAGCATGTACACCTGCATGCCAGAAGAGGGAACCAGATTTCATGTTTAGATAGTTGTGAGCCACCATGTGGTTGCTGGGAATTGAACTCAGACCTTTGGAAGGGCAGCCAGTGCTCTTAACCTCTGAGCCATCTCTCAAGCCCAAATCAGGTTGTTTTTTTTGTTTTGTTTTGTTTTTTTTTAATTAAGAAATTTTCGCTTATCGAGCCTCCGAATTTTCAGCTAGGGATCTAGACTCAGGTCCTGCTTGAGCAACAAGCACTTGTTTACCTGTGCCCCGGCTGCTCACAGTCTAACAAGAGAGACGGGTAGTCAGTAGAGGCAGGGAGGAGGAGGGAAGCTGTGCTCAGGGAGGGCTGAGGTGGCGGCTCTTGACCAAGGCCCGAAGAGAGAAAACAACGGGCATCCCGGGAAAAATTTAGTTCCAGCTTAGTATGTTAAACCCACTGTGTGTGTGTCTAGTATGTGCAAAGCCCTGAGCTTGATTCCAAGCACTAGAAAAATAAAGAGGAACCTATGGTGAGGATTCTAGCCGGACGCTGGAGGCCTCCCTCGCACATGAAGGCAGCCATGGAAGGAGCGGTGGCGGGCTGCGTTTGTCTAAGATGGCTGTTAGTGTAGGCCGACACGGAACCAGAAACGGACTCAGTGGTTAAGAGCACTCAGTGCTCTTACAGAGAATGGGGTTTGGCTCCCAGCACCCCATCAGGCAGCTCATAGCCACCTATCACTCTAAAATAGATTTTGTTTTTTGGGGTGTTTGGTCTTATTTTCTGTATGTGTATATATATATACAACAAGTCTGTAAACAGACTTGTTGGCTTGTTTCTAGTGCATGAACCCTGTCAATTGTCAATGTCAAAAGGTTAGCTGCATCTGCAAGAGGACAGGGGCCACAGGCCTGCACCCTACTGGAATTTCCCTTCTCTACCCACTGTTGGGTAACTTGAATCCTGTCTGGGACTGGAGTTGTGTTGGAGGCCACACTGGTAAGGCTGGAAATGTGTGTGTGTGTGTGTGTGTGTGTGTGTGTGTGTGCGTGCCTGTGCTGCAGTGCATATATGCAGGTCAGAGGAGAACTGGCAGGAGTCGGTTCTCTCTTTCCACCGTTGGGTCCCAGGGAGTAAACTTAGGCACACACACAGACACACATTTTAAACAGGGTCTTGGTATGTAATTCAGGCTAGCCTGAAACTCAGAATGTAGTCTGAGACAGACTCAAAACTCCAAATTCTCCTGCTTTCACTTCCCTAGTGTAGAGATTACAGGTGTGAACGACTGACGCAGAGTGTGTGTGTCTATGTGCGTGTGTATGTGTATATGCATGTATGTGTGTCTGTGTGTGCACACGGGCATCTGCAGATGCCTGAGTTCACAGGTGCCTGTACAGGTTGACCTCAGGTATCTTCCTCCATCCCTCTCCTTTTAATTTATGGAGGCGGGGTCTCTCTATCACAACCAGGAGCTAGGCCGCTCTGCCTTAGCTAGCTTGCCCCACCCCCAAGATTGCCTGCCTCTACCTCCCCAGCGTTGAGATTCCAGGCAGCTTGCCAAGCCCACCCAACTCTCACAACATCCTGTGGTTCCTAGAGATGCAAACTTCAGTCCTCAGAGTTTCACAGCAGGAGCTTCAGCGGCTGAGCCTTAACCTCAGCCCAAGATCAGGCCCTAGGAGACCTTTGCCCCGGGGCAGTGGGGGAAAGATTATCCCTGGAGCCCATTTAGGAAAACACAAAGAGTCAGACAACTGAGACAGGGCGGGGCTCGGCTCCTAGAGCAGTGGCCCAGCAGGAAGCCCTGGGTTCCATCCTTAGCAGAGCTTAAACCTAGTTTGGTGGAATAACCCCAGCACTCAGGAGGTGGAGGCAGGAGGACTGTAAATTCAAACCCTGGCACTCCTACAGCTCCTATTTTCCCAAAGTCATGGCTGACCACCATCAAACACTTTCTTTTATAAGATTTTATTTTTAATGTGTATATGGGTATATGACTGTGTGCGTGTGTAGTGCCTGAGGGCATTGGATCCCAAGACCACCTCTCCACTTCCCCACACTGTGCACAGACTTGGGATGGAGATGAGCCTCAGCTCACCTGCTGAGCTGTGCCTTTGAAGGAAAACATGGAGGCCCCAGGCCTAATGAGTCGCTGTGAGGAGCCAGACAGCCTCCAATGGACCCAGGGGGAAGAGGTCAAGGTTGGCCCCTGTCCAGAAGCCACTGAAGGCAACTCCAGCTCAGGCAGAGCTAAGGGTGGGAGAGTTGGGGCATGGACTAGAGAAATGGAAAAGGCTGGGGTGCATTGGCAGGAGGCAAAATGTCTGCCTATAACACACACACACACATAAAATACACACACAAAACCCATAACTGCCAGCAGCAAGAGAAACTGAACTGTTTATTGGCCAGATCTGGGTTTCCAGCAAAAGGGGGACATTGGGAAGCTTTATAAGGGGAGACACACTCCCAACTGGCTCCTTGCCTCCCAAATTTCCCCTTCCTCAACCTCTGCTTTCACAGATTTCTTTGAGGCAGAGGTTTCCATGTGTGGGAGAGATGATCCAGCAATTCTTGAACATGGTCAGACCACCCCCCCCCACACACACACACATCCCCGCCCCCCTGCCCGTCTGGCAGTTTCAACACGAATGTGAACATGAGAGCTCAGGGAGCACCCACACTGGGACAGGAGGTCATACCCGACACACTGGCACACAGACACATATAAATACAGTTTGTACCGCATTGGACTTTGTATTTCTCCACAGGATTTAGCAAAGTCCTTCAGGGACGACGCCACAAGAGTACCCAGGAATGTCCTCGGCTGCCCACGTTACATTAGCTACCTTACTCATGCCAACTTTCAAGACAGGTGGTGGTGGTGCACCCTGTCACACCAGCACTCGGGAAATGAAGGCAGATGGATGAGAGGTGCAAAGCCAGCCTTAGCTACAGGAGTTGAAGGCCAGCCTGGGCTACGTGAGACCCTGTCACAATTTAAAAAAAAAACAAAAACAAAAACAAACAAACAAACCAGCCACAAAGACAATTGGCAAGCAGCTACCTCCGGCTCAAGGCCGCCCTGCCTTATGAAAACTGGTACCTGGTAGGACGAAGTGGAAAAAACTCATGGGGAGGGAGGCTGGGTTTGGGGGTACGAGTTCCAGGAATGACCAGTATCTCCCCTAGGCTTGCTGGAAAGCCCGAAGCCTCCTCAATATATGCCCCACACTGATTTCCACAGCCGTCCCCTGATTCCTCTGCCCTCCCCCATAGATATGCAGGCAGTCAATGAGTTCTGAGCACAGAGACTGGCATTCCAGGGCTCCTCCCTGCCCCCACAGTGGCTTCCTTTCCTTGAACATGAAAGGAAAGGGAAGAAGAAGTAGCAGAGTTGATGAAATTGGGGAAGCTGTGGATTTAGGCCTCGGATAGACAGGGAGGAAGCCTTGGGCCCCCTGGGGACAGTGTTTCCCCAAGAAGTGGTCTAAGGTTGTTGGTGGAAGGTGGCAGGAGCTGGGTGTGGTGGTCCATAGCTTTAAAAATCCCAGCACTCAGGAGGGAGGGGCAGGCGGAGCTCTGTGAGTTCCAGGCCAGCCTGGGCTGCACAGCAAGTTGTAGGCCAGCCACGGCTACCTGGAGAGGCTCCTAAAAGGAGGCAGGAAGAGAGAGCCAGGTGGCTGGAAGGCAGGACAGGACGATGACACCCTTTGTACCAATTCGTAAATGCTCTAGCCCTAAGCTCCAGCCTGCTGTCCCGCTCGCTAGACTCTCAATGGTCCCCACGGTCACAGTACTATAATCTGATTAGTCAGCGCCTCCATTGGCTACCTGACCTATGAGCTGTGGTCAGTTAACCGGGCCTGTGGCGCTGAGGGACACTGTGAGGTCACCTGGTCTCTCCCCACAGAGCTCTCTGTGGCTCGCTTATCTATCAGTTCACCCTTTCCCTTCAGACCACTGTGTTACCCTCCAGAAATGTGGGCGATGTGGGCATGTGCAAGCCTCTCTCCAGTGAGCTGGAGCTGCGGAGGGGCAGGAGCCGGTGGCCAGGGGCCCCACTTCTACCTGTCACCCCCTTCCCCCGACGCCAGCACTGCAGGGGCCTTAGCACCTCCCTTCGAAGGTCCCGGCTACGCCATGTATAGATGACAGGGTTGAGCAGTGAGTTGAGGGTGGCAAAGGCAAAAAAATAATGGGCTTTGTAGAGGACAGGACAAGCCCGGACGGGACAGGCAGAGTCTAAGAGAAGGATGCTAAAAGCCGGCAGCCAGCAGATGATGAAAACACCCAGTACGATGGTGACCGTCTTGAGCAGGGCCAGGGTCTGGGGGCCAGCAACGTCGGCATGGCTGGAGCGGACTACAAAGTAGATTCGGACATACAGCGCCACGATAGCCAATAAGATAACAGAGAAGATGGTGACCACGCCGAGCACGTAGTGCTTGGCATAGAGGGGCAGGACAGTGGAGCAGGCCTCCAGATGGTCCAGACAGTTCCAGCCTAGGATGGGCAAGCCACCCAGAATCAGCGAGATCAGCCACGAAGCCCCAATGAGCATCAACATTCGACAGCTTTTATCACTGCCATAAAGCTTGACCTTGGCGAGGGCTACTTGTCTCTCGATGGCAATGGCCAGGAGGCTGAAGACTGAGGCAGAGAGAGTGATGAAGGCCGAACCCTCTCGGGCAAACCACTGCAAGGGAGACAGTGACAGAGTAACAGGTCCTGAGAGCAAGGTGTTGGCCACGAAGGCCACCCCTGCCAGCAGGTCGGAGGCTGCCAGGTTGCCAAGGAACAGGTACATCGCCGAATGGAACTTGCTGTTTCTTGCCACTGCAATTAGCACTAGAAGGTTCTCCACCACGATGGCACAGCACAGGAGAATGATGAAGGCTGAGGCCACCTTGCGGGAGGGGGTCTCCTGCATGTCCAGCGTCTCCTTGGTGTAATTGTAGTGTTCCAGAACCTTCTCAGGATTGAGGTACTCTGAGTATAAGCCACCCATGGTGTGGCTCAGTGGCCGGCTGGGGCCATGGGGCTGGGAACTGCAGAGAAGAGAGGGGAACAGAAAAGGGACAACAGGTCAGAGCTGTGGCTTTTATGAGGCCTCTGAACTGAGACTGCAGAGGTCCAGGGTCTAGCTCTGAGTTCTCAGTGAGCGGCCATTCGTCACGGTTCCTCCACGTGACAGAATGCTTAGAGAAGTCAGTTCATTTTTTTTCCCAAGGTACCAAGCCAGCAAGTGACAGGGCACACAGCCAGTAAGCCCTGAGCAGCACTCTCCTGGGTCGGTTGTTGCTGCCTTTTGATATTTTGCTTTGTTTGAAGACAGAGCCTCACAGAGAGAACTCACAGAGTTCTACCTGCCTCTGCCTTCCAAGTGCTGGGATCAAAGGCGTGTTACACCGTGTAAGGTCTGTACAGTGAGATTCTGTCTCAGAAACAAAAACACAGAGTGCTAGGGCTGTAGCTCACTGTAGAGCACTTGCCCACCTGGCATGGAAGCCTGGGCTTCATCCTTAGCAGGGCATAAGCAAGACATGGTTCTATCTGTGATCCCATCACTTGGGAGGCAGATGCAGGAGGATTGGGGTCATGGTCCTCTTTGGCCATATAATGAAGCAAGTTAGGGAAGACAGCCTGGGCTACACAGGATGGGGCTCAAAAACAACCTCCATAAAGAAGTAGTTGGTGTGGGTACGCACATCTTAAAAGGGAAGGCAGAGGCAGGCAAGTCTCTGTGAATCTGAGGCCAGCCTGCCGAAAAATAAAAAATAAAAAACAAAACAGGTGCGGTGGCACACTTCTTTAAATCCCAGCACTCAGGGAAGCAGAGGCAGAAGCAGGTGGAGCTCTCTGAGTTTGAGGCCAGCCTGGTCTACAAAGTGAGTCCAGGACAGCCAAGGCTACACAGAGAAACCCTGTCTTGAAAAAAAAAATAAAATAAATAAAATCCAATACCAACTGGTCATCCCTGAAATCATATTCATACAAGAGATATTATATAGACTTGAACATATTGTATTTATTTAGGAATATGTAGAGACAACTAAAGAAATCAAGGCCATGAGTTTGAGTGAGAACAGGGGGTTGCAAGGGAAGAGTTAGAGAGAGAAATGGGAAGAGGGAAAATGATGTAATTTTTATTTAAATAAATACTTTGTAAAAATTTATTTTTTAAAAAATTAGGCATAGCTGATCAGTGGTGGCCCGTGTGTTTAATCCCAGCACTCAGGAGGCAGAAGCAGGCGGATCTCTGAGTTCTAGGCCTGCAGTTCAGGTCTACAGAATGAGTTCCAGGACAGCCAGGGCCACACAGAGAAACCCTATCTCAAAAGCAAAAACAAACAAATAAAAAACCCAACCAAACAAGACAGGCATCATGGTGAATTCAGAAGGCAGAGGCAGGACGGCTACACATTCCAGCCAGCCTGAGCTGCATAGCAAGACCCTGTCTCCAGAAAACAAACAAACAAAGGGCAAACAGAAGGTTTTCTGGACTTCTAGAAACCTTACCTCTCTTCCTTCAGAACAACCTCAGGTAGGTCTTGGACAGCTTGTCACTGCTGTCCTGAGCACAGGAGCCTCAGGCTTCATGCTGCCTGCTGACCAGGGTCAGCAAGATTCTTATTACCAGCAGCACCAACCTCTGGCCATTACCACCCACTGCCCTGACTCCAGCCTGGGTCTAAGCCTTGAGGCCATGGGCACACCCAAAGATAAGGACTGGGGTAGACACCAGGACAGCCCTAAAGTCCAAGCCTTCCAGAGCTGCACTATCTTGAAGGGCACAGACCTGGGTGGCAAGGCAGATTTGTTCACATTCCAACTCTGACACACTCAGAGAGTGAGCTACTGAAGGCTCAGCCTCTTGGCCTCAACATACCCTTCTGCACAATGGGTACCAAGAGATCCCTCCAGCAGGGACAGGAACATCTTTTTCAAGGATATGTGAAACCTGGGTGGTGCTATCCACCTGTAAAACCAGCCTGGGCAAGGGCAAGAGCAGACAAGGGGATGGAAGGGGCATGAGAAAAAGGGGGGTAAAAGCACTTGCTGAGCATGCCTGACACCTTGAGTTTGATTCCCCAAAGCTACAGAAGAGGACTGACTCCTCAAAATTATCCTCTGACCTCCATGTTGGATATCAGTGGCACGGATGTGCCCACACTCACATACATATCATGCTTCCCCCATGATAATAAACGTAATAGATTTTAAAAAGGGAGGAGAAAGGAAGGAGCGAGCTACACAGGGGCTGGGGAGACCGCTTATTGGGGAAAGCACTTGCTCTCTCAGTATGAGGACCCCAGTTTGAGCCCCATGTTAAATAAGGCCAATAATGGTAGCAGGTGGGAGCCTGGGATGGTTAATCACCCCTGGAGGCTCAATGGAAAAAAATTAAAAAGAAAAAAAATATATATGCAGAGCCTGAAGAAATGGGTCAGTAGGCAGAATACTCACCTTGCAAATATGAGGACCCAAATCCAATCTTAGCACTCAAACAAAAAATCTAAGGGTGAGCTGGGTGGCATTGGCAGGCGAGCTCTGAGTTCAAGGTCAGCCTGGTCTACAGAGCAAGTGCCAGGACAGCCAAGAATACATAGAGAAACCCTGTCTTATAAAAACAAAAACCAACCAACCAAACAAAGCCAAGGTGAGGGCTCAAACTTGTAACCCCAGCTCGGGGCAAGCTGGGATTTCAGGAAGATCCCCGGCCCGCTGGTCTTTTAGCCTCCTCTACTTGGAGAGTTTCGGGTAACTGAGAGACCCTGTCTCAAAAACAAAGCAAAACAGGACGGGATGGAATTTGAGGAGCAACAGGTGAACTGTCCTCCGGTATACACGCTCGTGTGCACACACATGCACCCCATAGACAACACACACAGAGAGCAAAGGAAATACCCAACAGGTGTTAGCTAACGTCTTCAGTGCCCCCTTTCCCAACACACACAAATTTGGGCTGCCTCCCTTCACTCAATCTTCTGGAAAAGGATAGCGACTTAGCCAATAAATAAATAAATAAATAAATAAATGAATGAATGAATGAATGAATGAATAAATAAATAAATAAATAAATAAATAAATAAATAAATAAAAAATAATAAAACTCCAACAGCCGGTTTCCATTCCCACCATTTCACACTAACCAAGGACACTGGGTTCCTGGAGGGTGGGCAGGGCCCTGGCACCCCCTCCGGTGCCAGGATGCAATCCAGATGTGCTAAGCCCCTGGAACAAACATGGCGGAGTCCCTGACACATCCGGTGCGGGGAAGTCTGGGGTGGGAATGGAGAGAATGAGGAGGGTCACCAGTGACCCAGTCCGGGAAGGTCCTGGCTGGGAAGATGGGACAGCTGCTCAAGTCATGTGAGCTGTGAAGGGGCCCCCCTGGAGCAGCCCATGCAGAGGGGCTGGGAGGGGGGTTAGAATTTTGTTTCCATGAAAGTCTGAGTCACCCTTTGCAAGGAAAGCGGAGCTGAGCCCGGGGAAGGGGTTGGGGAGGGGATCTGTGTGGGCGGACACATGAGCTGCGGAGCACACACCGTGGCCAGCTAGAGGGGGTTAGGGGGAAATCTTGGTGGGGCTGGCACAGTGTAGGCGAAGGCTCCAGTCCCTGATTACAGGGAGGGGCCGCATGCTAAACACTCTCCCCAGCCCGGGCTTGGAAAGAGGCCTGACAGGGGCCACGTGTTTTCCAGAAAGAGCACTGTTCCAGAAGCTGGCTGGTAGAGCCGGTTCCTAGTGAGCGCTGAGAATGATGGGGGGCTTCCGGGTCGCCCAGCCATCTCCTTTTCCCCGGATGCCCCCTCGGTGGGACACCCTGGCTTTTGAGGGGGTTTACAGAGACAGCTGCTCCCCGCCCCCCTGGGCGAGGGGACATCCGCCCTACTTTGGGAACAGAGAAGAGCTTGTACGTGTCCTCGGGGACAGCTGCCCCACCCAGATCCTCACACAGAGGCCCCTTGTTTCCCCTGCCTGGACAGAGCCCCGGGCGCCCAGTGCCCTCAGCAACTTGCAGGCCACACAACCTTTTTATCAAGCCAGGTCTTCAAGCCGAAGTAGCCCTGAGTCTGATTGGCTCATTTTCGGTGCATCCTCGGCATCCGATTGGTCCAGCTGGGGGCGCTCTGAGAAGAAGTCTACAATCGTTCCCTTTTGCAAGCTGCTGGGGCTCTGCTCTTCAGGAGCTGTGTGATTGTCCCTGTGGGACTGTTTGAACCGCTGCCTGACCACTGGGTCACCCTCCCTCAGACGCCTCCAGGCTGCCCTGATCATCTGGGCCCCTCTTGGGGTTCATAATTGAGAATCACCCCTCCCAACTGCAAGCTTGGTGGGCAAGAAGCCCAGGGTGTGTCCCTTAGCCACCCTCTGAGACTCCCACCTCTTCTCCATTCTGACGGAGTAGACGAGAAAGAATTATGGCCATTTCCTGCAAAAATAAATGTGACCAGCCCCGCCAGAGCACCCCAGGGACTAGCCAGAAAGTCTGTCTTCCCGGGGGCAGAAGACTGTAAGTTTATATTCAGTTTATGCAGACGCTAAGACTTTCCACAGCGCGCGCGCACGCACACACACGCACACACACACACACACACACACACACTAGTAAGAAAGGGGAAACTGAGGTCAGGCTGTCTCCCCAGTCTCATCTCCCCTCCTAGAACCTTTCTAACCAAACACAGGAGCTTAAGCACTTTAAGGACTCCCAGAAAGAGGAAGCTAGCCAAGGGTTGGAAGCCTTGGAGGAAGAGGCACTCTCCAGGCGGATAGAGGTTGGCCTGGCCTCCTCCCTTTGTCTGGACTCCAAGACCTAGCTAAACCCCGAGTCTGGTCTCCTGTCCCCTTGCACCACAGTGGTCCAGACTGCCTCTCAGAGAGAGACACGGGAAATTGCCACTAAAGCCTAGACTCTGAACTGAAAATGAACCTGATCAGTCCACAACTATAATCTCAGCTACACAGGAAGCTGAGGAAGGAAGATGAAGAGTTCAAGACCAGCCTAGGCTACATAATGAGTTGGAGGGGCACAGAGAGAGCCTGACTCAAGTAGAAACTAAAGCAGAGGGCTAGGAGATGTTGAGATGGTTCACTGGCTAAAGACACTTGTCACCAAGCTTGAAGACTTGATCCAGCTCCAGTACCCACATAGTGGGAGAGAGAACTGACTCCCAAGTTAGCTTCTGACCTGCACACTTGTGCCATGAAACACATGTCCACACATATACACATACCCACAAAATAAATGAACGTAATTTTTAAAATGTAAAAATATTAAAAAGCACCATCTGTTGGCACACACTATTAATCCCAGGACTTGGGAGACAGAGGCAGGCGGATCTCTGTGAATCTGAGACCAGCCTGATCTACAGAGTGCATTTCAGGACAGCCCGGGCTACCCACTGTGGCTTTTCTATAAGTAAATAAAATTAAGGACAGCTTGTTGTAGCTTGTATTTTGAAGCCCTGGGTTCCCAGGACTGCAGAAAACAGACAAGGAAGAGGAGCAAGGGAAAGGGCTTGGAGTGAGGGAAGAGAGATAGACCCAGGCACGACTGCTTAGCTAAAGATTAGGGAAGAGGAAGGCTGGAGGAAGGCCTGGTGGCTTAATGGGTCCCCTCCCTCCGCTGCCTCCCAGTTCCACAGTGCTCAACCCATCCCTCCCGAGCTCAGCCCTGCACACACCTTTTTTCCCTCTTTTCTTTTGGTTGCTGTGTGGTTGTAGAGCCTTCTACAGTGCTGCTGCCCACCAAGCCTGCAGGGGAGAACTGGCTGAACTTAAAACTTCATCTTCACTCTCCACTTCCATCCACATTCTTCTATGGCTCCCCAGGGGCCCAGGACACACCTCACTAGCCTCCCAAGAACCATCTGAATCTCCATCAGGCCCTACTGTAGTTTCCTACAGCCCCCCCCCCCCCCCCCCCCACACACACACAAACACCTTCTCCGGTAGACTAGCTCATCTTTGGATTTCATTTGAATGTCACTTTCTATGTCTTCAGAAACTACATTCTCTTTTTGTTTTGTATTTTTTTTATTTTTATTTATTTTTTCTTTTTAGTTACATTTTGTTTTTGTTTTGTATTTGAGACAGGATCTTACTGTGTATCCCAGGTTGACCAGAAACTCACTATGTGGATCAGGTTGGCCTTGAATTCGAAAAGATCCTCCTGCCTCAGTCTCCTGAGTGCTGGTATTAAAGAAATAGAGCATCGTGCCCAGCACAGCCCACCTCCAAATTCTATCGGCGCATCTGGCTTTATAATCAGAAATGATCTTGTTTTCCACAGTACCGTGTGTGTGAGGCAAGTTCACTCTCAGCCTCTTGTGCCTGGTGCAAAGGAGGCAGGCTCATGAATGAATGAAAGAGCCCGAAGTTGGAGCGCTCGCATGCGAGGCTTGGGACACCTCGGGTCCCCAGCAGCACCCCAACCCAACCACCAGACCTAGACGAAGCCAGGCGCGTCTCCATGGAGACGACAGCAGGACTTGCCCGGCCCAGGCAGCACTCTCTGGCTCCTTATCAGGCCGAGGAATGCGCGGTATCCACACTCGCTCCGGCTAGGGCGGCGCCATCTCTCTCCGGAGACCCCGACACGCGCCCAGGATGCCCCTACCCTGCACATGGTAACAGGAGGAGGCGACACCTCTGCATCCCACCGAAGGGCCCTCACATCTAGATTCCCGGAGCACTGGGGCGAGGGGAAGACCCCAGCTGCAGCAGCTACACCCCGCCCCCGGCCCCAAAGATGCTCCCACGTCGCGCCACAGGGGACAGTAATCTCGGCGAGTGTCGCCTTGGGCGTCTAACAAGGATAGAGACGGGGGTGGAGAGGGGAGGTGGAAATCCCCGAGTGAGTCAACTCGTGCCAGAGAAGGGGGCGAGGTCCCAACGCTGTGTAGCCCGCGACAACGCGTTCTCCACGCCACGCGTGCCTTCCTTCACCCCTACGCCCCATCCCTGAGCTAGGACGAGAAGAGGAGGCGCCTGGACTTTGCAGTTACTGTCCCTTTCCTTCGAAACAAAGCGATGCCCCCGAAAGAAACACCGGAGGAGAGGGGCAACTCAGGGAAACTGAGGAAAAAAAAAAACAAAAAACAAAAAAAAAAAAAAACTAGCCTCTTTGGTGGTGGGGCGATGGTCTTCCCCAGGGACCCCGCCCATGAACCCCGAGCGTCCGCCGCTCGTACGTAGCACCTTTAGTCCTAGCTCAAGCCGGAGACAGAAAAGGAGGGATGCTGCGCCTCTCCCCAACAACCCCACCTCTCCAAACCTTGCTTCCTGAGAACCCCCAGCCTGTCTTGCAAAGTAGCCAGCCAAAAGCGCTCAGATTCCGCCTTTCTCTTCAACGCCAACTTCCTGCCCAGAGGAAGGCGGGGAGCTCGGTCTGGGGGTGCGCCACTGAGTAGGTGGGAAGCTGCCCCGAGCAGTGGAGAGGGGCGCACGGTGGGTGACCGACCCCCTCGGTGCAGGAGAGCCCGGAGCAGCGCGTGCAACGCCCGTTCGAGCGCCTGTCCCCAGGCTGGGCCCCCAAACTGGGTTCCCACCATCTCAGAGGATCGCGGCCCTCCCAGATCGGAACCTCCCCTTTGCCCCGCGCGCTCACCTAGGTAGGCCGGCCGGGGTCCCTGCCCTGGCCTGAGTGGCCCCGGCGTCTGCGCCTCAGGACAGGCAGTGGGTGCTTTTGGAAGCTGCTGGCTGGGCTCGGTCTATGTCCCGGAGTTGGGGACCCAGGACAAGAGAGAGGCGGGCACAGCCGCCGCCTCCGGCCCCTACTCCCTGCTCGCCCCGCCCTCCTCTCCTCCTCTTTCCGGCGGCGACTTGCAATGAATTCCAGATGTGGCCAGCCAGTCAGCACAGGGGAAGAGCAGGGCCCCTTTGTCCGCACCCCCCCCAACTCCCGCCCTGTCCCTCCCAGCCCCCACCCGTGAGAAGAGCCGTCGCATGATGTCACAACCTCGTGACGTCATAGCTCTCTTAATTCAGGTAGCCTAGACCTGAAACAACTGTGTTCCTTTTGGGATACACTCAAGGCTTAGCTCCCGGCTGACGCCTGGGACCTAGAAATGGAGAAAATCATCGCTTACCTACTACATGAGGACTCAGTAAATCAGGATTAAGCACCTACTATGTGTTTCTACAAGAAATAAATTCCTATTTTGTGCCATGCCCAGGCCCCAAAACAGACCTGTTCTTTGACTTAGTAAGAACCTCAAAACCCAGCGGGCTGTGGTCTGTCGTCCCAGCACCTGGGACGGGGGAGGTAGAGGGATCAGGAGCTCAGGGCAGTCCTGGAAGCCTTAGCCAGACTGACTGAGGGAGACCCTTTCTGGAAAACAGGCTGGAATGTGGATTCAGGTGGTAGACTGCCTAACCGCGCAAAGCCCTGGATTCCATCCTCAGCACTTCGTACATAAACAGGACATGGTAGCTTGGGCCTCTAATCCCAGTACCTGGGAAGTAGAGGCAGGAGGTTTGTTCTATAGTTTGAAGTCAGCCTTGACGACACCATCCTGCTGATTTCTTCTCTCCAAACAACTCAGAGTGAAAAAAATTTCCAAAATTAAAGAGTAACACCAGGTCAGCTCACTAGGCGGGGGAAAGTGCCTGCCTGGAAGCCTGAGCTGAGTTCAGTCCCCGGAAGCTAAGTTGGCCTCTGACCTCCACAGGACACCATGGCGCTGTGGCACCTGCCTTCCCACACCGAGACATGTGCAACGGTAGTAAGTGCGTTTTTGAAAAGACCAGCAGGCTGCTGAGCTGTCAGCAGTAAAGGCTGCCTGGAAACCACATGGTGGGGAGGGAGAACCCATTCCTGCCAGTTGTCCTCTGACCTCCAAGGTCTGCTGTGGCACACGCACACACACCCCCAGATAATAAAGTCAGAATTAATATACTTTTTCAAGATAGGGTTTCTCTGTGTGACAGAGCCTTGGCTGTCCTGGACTCCCTACGTAGACCACGCTGGACTCAAACTCAAAGAGCTCTGCCTGTCTCCGCCTCTGGAGTGCTGGGATTGAGGGCAAGTGCCCCCACGCCCAGCTTAAAGTAATAAATTTTTAAAAGGGGCTGAGGAGGCGGCTCAGTGCTCAAGAGCACTTACTGCTCTTGTAGAGGGCAGAACTTCCCAACAGTCACAGGCCTGATACCGTCTTGTGACTCCAGCCCAGGGGACCCAACACTTCCAGCCTCGAGCACCTGTACTCCCAGGCACATACCCACAATTACACAATTAAAGACAAAAGACATTAAACACACGGAAGAGAAGGGAAAATTGTACACCCAAACATAAACTCCACAAGAACAAAGAATACGTTCCCCTTGATTTGTTCAACGGTACCCCTCATATCTGCATGCAGACATTTGTGGGGGCACGTTGCTCAGTGTTGCAGCCCCTGCCTCTCGCGCACAGGGCCAGTGTTCAGTCTCCAGCACCCCAAAAAAATAAATAAGTAAGCGGGTGACTGTTGGCAAGCCTACAATCCTAGCACATCAGTAGGTGGACACAGGAGGATCAGGAATCCAAGACCTTCTTCTGTGAGCAGCAAGTTGTTGTAAGGTTCGTGACTTGCTAAACAGGTTAAGCCTTTCAATAGGGTACCAGAAACTGTAGAACAGTGGACTAGAATCTCCTGGTTGAGAGGCTAGGGGTGTGGCTCAAGGGTAGAACACCTGCCGTGATTCATAAAGCCCTGAATTCTGTACCCAGCATGGAAAAGAAAAATAAAGTGAAATCAAATAAATAAGTACCACTGTGCAGGTGAAACCGAGTCCTCGAATTTGCCAAGTAAGCACTCCCATGTTTCAGAAACTGAAGGCTGGAGGCAGAGCAGTGAACAGCATGCCCCCACAGAGCTGAGGTTCTATGTGAACATTTAAGTGCGGAGAGTTCACAACTGCACGGGAAAAAAGTATTCAGCCTCCTGGAAGAGGAGCTGCAGACTGGAGCTAGGATGGGAGGAAGCTCTGTCTGCGTTATAGAAATCCTTTGTGCTTGCTGGCTCGGCTGACAAGTGCACACACGTTATATCCCAGTAATAAATTAAAACTAAAGAATCGGAGGCAGCTTGGAAGCCAGGTGAGTAAAGCAATGAAATTAAAGGAGTGACGAGTCCCACTCCCAAACTTCGGTTCAGTTTATATATATATATATATATATATATATATATATATATATATATATATATATATATACATACATATATTTATTTATTTATTTATTTATTTATTACTTCCAGAAAGTACTTTTTTCATTGTGTAATGAGTTGTTCAGTTTCTATGAGCCTGTAAGCTTTCTGTTGTTTCTGTTGTTGATACCAAGCTTTAATCCGTGGTGGTCTGATAAGGGTGCAGAGGATTATGCCAAATTTCTCGTATCTGTTGAGACTTGCTTTGTGTCCAAGTATGTGATCAATTTTGGAGAAAGTTCTATGAGGTGAAGAGATGAAGGAGTATTCTTTTGTGTTTGGGTAAAATGTTCTGTAAATATCTGTTAGGTCCATTTGGTTTACAATGTCTGTTAGCTCCAGCATTTCTCTGTTTAATTTTTGTCTGGAAGACAACAACTCATACATGTATCTGAAGCTGGACTTGGCTGCCTGTTATCCCAGCACTCAGAAGGTAGAGGAAGGGTCAGGGGTTCAAGGTTATCTTAGGCTACAAACCTATTAGAAGCCGTCTGGGCACCACCAGTCCCTGTCTCAAAAAAAAAAAAAAAAAAAAAAAAAAAAAAAAAAAAGAGTGGGGCCAGCTAGATAGCTGATCAAGTTTAGGCGCTTGTTGCCAGCCCTGACAACCTGACTTCTAGCCCCAGGACCCACATATAAAAGGAGAGAACCAGTCCTGCAAGTTGTCCTCTGACCTCCACACACACAAGAGAGAGGGGTGGCTGGAGAGATGACTCAGCGGTTAGAAGCACTGGCTGCTCCCGCAGAGGACCTTAGTTCAATTCCCAGCATTCCCATGGCAGCTCACAATTTCCTACAACTCCAGTTCCAAAGAATTCAATGCCCTCTTCAGGCCTGCAAGAACATGTGTGTGCACACGGTACATACACACAGCAAACACATAAATGCAAGACATTTATATATACATAGAATAAAAAAAACAAATCTCCCAAACCAATAAATAAAACAATTTTTTTTTTAATTGGGAGGCAGGTGAAGCATAGCTCAGCAGCGTGCTTGGCATGTGCGCGGGGGGGGGGGGGGGGG